TGTGTGTGTGTGTGTGTGTGTGTGTTTGTGTGTGTGTGTGTGTGTGTGTGTTTGTGTGTGTGCGTGTGTGTGTGTGTTCGACTGCTTGATCAAAAGAATAAAAGAATCGGATGAGTTATCCTGCCTTTGATGGGATTTATGTGTGTCTGTGTGTGCCTGGATGTCAGGCAGGCCTCATGGCTGATTAGCTCTGTCTGCCTCCCGGCCTGGGTGGCCCTGCTGTGTGGAGTTTGCATTTTCTCCCTGTGCACTTGTGGGTTTTCTCCAGGGACTCCTGTTTTCTCACCAAACACAAAAACGTGTGTGTTAGATAAACTGGTAACTCTAAATTGTCTGTAAAAGTGAGAATATGAGTAGTATTCCAGGTTGAGTATTACTGCARTAGATGGTTGACTGAAGGTTGGTGCAGGTCCTGTGTCAGGTCTTTGCTAGATTCTTATTTGTTTCCAGCACCAAAAAGATGGATTAGATAATTTTCTACTTTGTCCGTTGCCCTCTACTTGCCTGCATTTCTAATAATAAAAAAAAAAAAACGTTACATAATATGGTCATGGTCATGGTCATTGTCATGGTCATGGTCAGTTACTGGATAGAAAATAAGTTCAAAAAATGCAATCCAAAAGCCCAGAGAAGTACTGTATTAATCAAGCTTCAAAGAAAGTTTAGCTCCTTGTAAGCAAAGCATAAAGAAATTAGGAATCGTTCATTTTTTTTCCACAGTAATGTATGTGCACAAATTAAAGCGAAATAAAAATAATCACCACAGCTTGGAAACTGATTGTTATTAGCCAGAGGTCCATTCATCCAAATAATGGGCGTCTTGCATGCATTCAGTGCACCAGAGGTAGCTGAGAGGCAGGTAAACGTCTCCAGGATTTATGGAGCTGCAGGTAAAGGTCGGTTATGATTAGCATAATGACCAGCACTATTTGGATACACACAGTCCATAACTCATACAAGAAAACACCTACCTGCCTCTGCGGACATTTTCTCAAATCCATGGATGCAGGAGCAAAAGTTACCATTTGACGTTTTGTTCTCTGTGACCACTCAAGTGCATTTTAATTAAAAACCCAACGATAACATGATACGTTCACATTAAATGTAGCACAAGCAAATAAAACTTCATAATGTGGCACAAACAGCTCTGAGGACATTAAGCTACTTGTGTGTGTGTGTGTGTGTGTGTGTGTGTGTGTGTGTGTGTGTGTGTGTGTGTGTGTGTGTGTGTGTG